AGCTAACACCAATTATGACTATTATGACTTCGCAAACTGCGTTTGCCATGGGAGGAATGAAGGTTCACCATCGAACACACTAATTTTTTTCAAAATCTCAAGTACACAAGTGGATGCATGAGAAATAAAACTAAAAACTGAAATATCAGGATGGAAGTCTGAACATACTCTGTGCATTATATCCACAGAATGGATGTACTTGATGCCTTCCAGAATTTGTCTGAAGAAGAACCTGCAAGGCTGTTGACTTGTTGGCATGTAGGACACAGTATTAAAAATACCTAATAAAGCAGTCATCCTGAGGTCGCTGAGGGTCGGCAATGATATCGCTTAGATTAAATGACACAAACTCAGTCACTAATGACAAAGAGTCGCGAGAACAAAAGACGTCAAGAAGTTTCAGCACCTGAAAAAACTTGAGATTCAAAAAGCCGAAGTCATACAGATGATAGAAAACTTGCTTGAAACAACAAACCTTAGGATGATGAAGATTTCTTAGCGCACATAGTTCTCGCACTATCTGAAGCTGGTTTCTGGACGTTACGGTCATTTTCTTTATGGCTACCGTTCTGCCATCCTGAAAAAATTTTTATGACTATGTTCCGATAATGGCACACTATGCTTGGTGACATTTTTCATCATAATATTTCGTACTAACTTTAATGATCTTGGTTTTTTTTCTTCTAAAAGTGAGGCCTCTTGAATCAAACGACGGTCAGGCAATTCAGAACAAACATCTTGAACGTTCAAGCTCAAAATTCAAATTTACCTGTTTCCTTTTTGCCTGAAGTACAATCCCATATGCACCTTGACCGACAGGTCTGACGATTTCGTAGCGATCCATGCAATGGAAGCGACCTCATCTGCGGCAGAAGATAGGACCTCACATTTGCAAGGCTACGACATCTCTGCAGCACAAACTTTGTCATCATATTCGAAAACTTATTTTGTGAACAAGTAATCGGAGAAGCCAGCAAAATATCAGAAAATTGAAAGGGATGGAAAAAATGTAATCCAGAAGTGATGAACAAGTTTGGAAAAAATCAAAATCAATATTAGGTTGGCTAAA